TATATTGATTTACAATCAATCAATATCGAAGAAACGAAGCAGATCGCCAACGAATTAGAAAACCAGAAAATCCATCTTCAAGAATTGACAACGCCCCTAGAAGTGACCCGCGTCAATTTATGGACATTAATTATATATATAATCATTATTGTTGCTTGCGTTTACGCTATATACAAAACTGTTAAAGAAAAACGCTCAAAAACACATACTTCCGAGCCCATCATAATTGTATAATTTAAATATATCTATAAAACCACACCCTGTGGGTATGTTTTTAGCTAAGGGCGGAGGAGTTACATTCTTGCAACTTAAATTGTAAGCAATAATTAATTAAACACTAAGCAAAGATAAGAACATGTACCGAGGTTACAATTGCAACCTCGAAACAAAGCGAAACCAGTTCATTTGTATCCTGCTTCTAATAAAGACCTTTTTTTAAAAAGGCTTTTTGTATTGACCCACACGTAAATATTGCTTGAACGTGGATCTGCCAAAAAACCAATCGGAGTGATCGCATTCAATTTTATATTATAAACTCTACTCTTCCCCGCTATTGGAATTGTTTACATTAGGCTGGAAAAGCTGTTTTGTTCACGGCGATCGTCAAAACCAGTTTAATTCAGAATCCTGGCTTTAAAAATGTATCCATATATACTGGAACTTTCTTCAACATTGTAAACAACAAAAAACTGGAATCGAACTGAGAAGCAAAGGAATTAGTCATCGAAAGGGCGATCAAGCAAATTATTATATGATCAGATTGATTCTGTGGTTGGGTTCATATCGCATGAATTTTTTCCAAACGCAGAGCAAATGTTTAGTTTCTTACGGGTAACGAACGAAATAAGTGGTAGGTTCTTACTGCTTTTATCCTGGTGTCTTAACGGGATATATATAGAGTGATTTGGTGCCAATAAACTGGGTGAGATAGATCATCATTTCCGTTAACTGCAGGATTTATTGCAAGTTTTTAAATTGTTTCAATTCTATGTGTGAAACCTTTTTGAGGATTGGAGCATTAGTTGGAAAAAAATGGTGGTTGGAGCACCAGCTTGCAGAAAGCTGGTAAGTTTCTCTTCTCTATCTATACATTTCTTAGGTTGAACTGATTTTAGGTTAACCAAAAGAAATTGATGTTTTATGCATTCTTTGTATTTCTCTCCCTTTGATTTGCTGATTTTCAAGTAAATTGGCTTTAGATTCTCTGCTGTTTTAAACACATTTTCTTCTTTCTTTCCAGGTGGTACGATAGCCGATAGGCGAGCTTTCGGTAAGTTTGGCATTAATTTGTCCCCGGTTGCCATGTAGATGTACTTTTAGTGGCATATTGTTGATTTGTATTTTATGATATTGTTGCATCTCATATTTATTCGACAAGAAACGACGAGGGCAGTTTCTGGATTCTGTATTGGGTTTTTCAATGTTTTTAATTTATTTTTGTAAAACTAATTTAAAATCATTTTTAGCCGTTTTTATACATTTACTCGACCTCTTCTTTGGTAAACTGTATTTATATGAATTTGTACAGGATAAATGGAATGGTGTTCTGTTGCGACCACACCTTTAATTATCTTCGAAGCTAAGATATCAAGTATTTGTGTTTTTCTGCTGTAAATTAAAATGTTTGCTGTTTTTAAAGTTAATCATACCCCATACTAAGGTGCCTAAAGGTATGTGAATCATATTTATTATTTTCTGATGGTCTAGCGGATAGCACCTTAAGAGGTTGCAAGTGGTACTGGCCTACCAGTTTAGATTTCGCGGTATTTTTCCAAATTGAGACATTAAAAAATTATTTTTGACAAACGATTTGTATTAGGGAATTTCAGTTGCCAGGATCCATCTGACTATTCCCGCTTTTTGCCGTCCTCCACCCTGCCCGTCAGGCTGTAAGGGGTCCAGATCAAGATTTTTATTTTTTTATTTAATTATTTATTTATACATTATTCAATATACCGTAACATTGTAAGTAGACATAATATGAGTATAACAGCACCTAGATGACTGGACATCCATACATGCTTATTATTCATTAATTGTAAATATTTACCAGATTATTATCCCAGATTTGCAGGTATTCTTCTAAATTTAAGCCACTAAATGGTGTTTTTGTTTTTGACGAAAAATCGCGGTTCAAGGGAATTTCAGTGATCTAGATCCGGACACTAATTATTGTGTAGAAGTAGGTAGCAACCAGGGTTGTAGTTGTACTTTGGAAACATTTATGCTGCTCGCTTGTGCAGCTGTGTACATGTTATAAAGCGATATTCGTATGATAAAGTACTTGTTAATTCTTTTTTTTATATTTTCTTGCAAGTTTGAACTACTAAAGTTTTATTATATCATTTTATACTTATTTTGTGAACATCAATTTTTTAGGTAAAACAAGCAACGTCTTTTTGGTCCACAATGAGTCAAAGTTCTAACTTAAATTTTGAGTTGAGGTGTTTGCTTCCACCTTCAACTATTCACAGCGTATTATATTTGTTACATACAGGGTGATTCAAAATTGGCGTCATTCCTTCTTAGAGTATATAGGGACCAACTTAGAGAGGACAAGTAAAATATTGAAAAGTTTTTTTTCGAAAATGTCAAGAATATATATTGTAACGCAAATGGCCTGGGGTACTCACGATTGGAATGGGGGGATTAAAATTCGTGGTATGTCAGTAAATGGGAGCCCCATTTGCGCCCCATTTACTGTCAAATATGACACTGACAAGCGGGAAATTTCGCACCTGGTCTGGAGATTTCGAGAACCGTCTGGGTTACCTGGAGAAAACTATATAAGCGGCGACGAGAACTATGGGGAGTCAGTAAAAGTGACAGCAGCGACCGAGATCAGAAGAGGTTAAACCCCGCGAGTCGGAAGATCGAGTTTTCTGTTTGTTATTGTTATTGTTTGTGAAGTTGACGTTAATTTAGAAGTTAGTTTGTTCCTGTTCAGTATTTAAAGTGATACCGAGTTGAATAAAAGTTGGAAGCTGAAGAAAGAGTTTGACACTCGGCCATCCACAGTACAATATATATAAATAATATTTATTTCCTACAGAAAAAGGCTATCGACCCAATCGGTCTTTCTGCCCTTAAGAATATATTAACAGTTAAAGATCGAATTTCAACTTTGTTATTAAGCATTATTTTGAAAATGTCCCACGTTTGATTGGTAGCCTATTGGAATACTTAAACATTCGAAAAGAAAAATTGCGATCTTTTTGTCAAATTACGAAAATTTTTAATATTAAAAAAGTACTCTTCTACAATTTTTTGATGAAAAGTCGAAGCGGCAATGATGTTTTTTGTCATGAACAGATAGTTACAGGTAGACAGCCTTTGTCAATAATAACACGCATTTGTGAAACTGTGCTTTACTTTGAAGCATCTTTCACTAAATGTAAACCAACAGCGAATTTGCTTATTTTTGCTTATTCTTTATAATTTTTTAAATAATGTATTATTGAAATTTGGTATTTTTATAAATTTTATAGTTATATTAAGTTTTAACTTGTAGGGGGTGCTATCAACATGAGTTTTTCGAAGAAAACATTCAGCTTTTTTACGCTGAACTGGAGCAGTGTCTGAACATTTGACAAATAAGTCATGTTTGTTCCCCCTTTCTTTATTTATTTATCCGTGTGTGGGTTATTTTATAGGCACGCATCAATATGTGCTGAAAACAAAAAGGAAGAATTTATTTTCCAGTTTAAAGAAATCAAATTAAGCGCTTCAAAAAAAATTGTTTTTCTTGGTCGGCTTTTTATGGTCATCGTTATTGAAATAACGATAGGAGCTTTAGAGTAATGTTAAAATTAAAGGTTTTGCAATCTCTCTCTCTAAAAGCTCGTATGCAACTCAAAGGTCCAATAGCCGCCTAATATTTCAGAAACTATTGCGTTGAAATTTACCGTTGAAAAACACCTTTGAAATTTAATATGGGCGAAAGTAATAAGTTTTTATTCAGTTTTTAAAATGGAGGTAATGTAAACATTAAATAAAAACATATTCTATCGAATATGAAAGTTTGGTCATTTGGAAGGAAGACTATAAACTTGGAATTTGCGCACATAATTATTGGATCAAGTATACTTAAAAGTTCCGGTGTACAAAATAAAGTTACAAAAAATTTCACATAATCCTGTCTGAAATCTTTGGGTGTTGCGAAATTTTTGACTAACCCTTAAAAATGTAGATGACTGTTTATCCTTCAAAATATCAAATGTGTACTTATTATATGATCCGCTTTTAATTTAAAATGTTTTTAAGAAATATCTGCATGAAAAACAATTTAGATCAGAAATTAATCTCAAATACCCCACTGAGTGTCGATGCAAAGATATAAATTTTTTATGACCTCAGCCTCCCCAGATCAAAATCCTGGATTCGCCACTGAAGCAGCTAGATAAGTTCGCTTTGTTCGTTTAACTTGTAGCTTGCATTGAGTAATGCATTGTAAATTATTATAACTCGTATACGCAAGATGAGTAAAACTTTATACAAGATAGTCCCCTTTCTCAATAAAATGATGATCGATATTCAGCAAGAAAATCCATTCGAGGCCAATGTGTTCAACCTGATAAATATTAAATGTCGGATTAAACCGAGAGAAGTATTTGTATCTGCTACTAGGCTCGTTTTTCTTCTCACCTCTTTAATTTAAAGATTTTAAATGGACTTGATTTATGTGAGTAAGCAAACCCACGTATAAGTCTGAACAAACACTGCCTGAGAAAAAAGAAAGTATGGAAGGAAATGCATGACAGCCGAAGAATCGGTATTGTTAGAAATAGGAAATTGCGTCCGTGTTAGAATACAACTTGAAAAAACTATGATTTATTGAACATTGCAAGTTCGGAAACTGTAGGATATTCCACTCATTGAAATATACTGTGACAACATAATGTTATTGTTCAGTAGTGTATTATAAAACAACTGGAAGTGCAGATACGCTAAAACTTCGATCGAAAATGAGAAATGCATTCCATGGATGAACGTTTTGATTTTAGATTTCGTATTAAAGTTATGTCATATTTAATGAAATGCATATATTCGGCTGGAAAATATTAAATATTTGGTCGTTATGTTCGTAAAGGGACTCGTTGAAATGGGCCCATAAAAAAGTACTTTTTATGGGCTACATTAAAACGGATGCTGCCGTCCAATCTAATACTCCATAACAACTATTAAAAAGCTTTTACTAAAATTAAAATGCTAATCTAGAGGACACATATTGGAAGAAATAACTATATGAACCGAGGTTGGTGTTATTTTTTAATTTCCTTGCCAATAAAATTTAATTTAAAGATAACATGAACCTTGTGTTCCGCCTGTCAGTGAAGTCGTTGCCAATTAGAAACTGGATATAAAATAAATAATAATTTTCACTAAAAGACAGAAAGCTCCAGCTAAATAGATTTATCTTCTAATAATAAATCAGCTTGTCATAGCAAATTATAACAATACTAGCTGGGCTGGACAATAGGCCGTTATCTATAAATGGTACTGGACTGGTATACCCGAGTTGTATTCGGACATATTATATCCGGTTTTTTAATGCTACATTGCTAGATCATTATCATCCGACATATTGATAAATTGCATTTCATTTAACTGACTTTTAGAATTCGAAGTGGAAGGAGTTGATTTTCAAAGTATATTGAGATTGAGTGCACACACTGCATTAACATGACCCGCTCTGTTCATAATGTACGGCGGACGCAGGATAATGCTTAAACGTTTTCTTATTGCATACATTTCGAACTGTATATAGTCGATCTATTTTGGTTTATAACACAATTCGACAATTTTTATACAAGTTTTCTTTTGCACAAAAAATTATTGTCGTTCTTGACAACTAACAGCAAAGTCTTGACAATAAATTTATCGCGTTAAAATTAAAGTAATTACAAAATACCATGGGTCAAGTTTATCGAAATCTTGAAAAATTCAATAATTTTCTTCTTGTCTATTTTTTAACTGAACTTTCTGTGATTGATTCAAATGCTATTACAAAACACAGCTTTTGTAATAGCATTTGAATTATTCACGCGTATTATTTGGTCAGCAATAACGTTAAATAATCCACATTAACACATTAACAAAAACCTTCTCAAACAAAAATGCGTGTTTGGCAATCCTGGACGAAGTTATATCCCAGTTAAGTTTCTTAATCAGAGACATCCTTTTAAAAAAATATGGATTACAGATCGTCAGAGAACAGTAATACTCATATACTTAAAATGCTGAATTATATCATCACGGCAACTAAATAAT